TGTGTTGCATATACCTATAACATATCGGAGAATAATAATAATAATATTAATAATAGTTTTTTTTTATAAAATTTGAAGCAAATTCTGAGCGTACATTGCATTATTGACTTTGCCATTCATTTGAAATTTTACAAAGTAATAAAATTTCAGTTGCATGCAATGGACGTTAATTGTTTGCTTTATACTCGGATTATTTTGTGAACATTATGCGATAATAAGCATGTTCTTGACATCCAAGCTTCATTCATTTTCGAGTAGCGCCTCTATATCAAACAATGAGCGCGTGATGAGCGCGAAGGCTTTTAATTAAATACCCATCGCAGTGATAAAGCGAGTGGTCGCAAATTACAAATCTGCATTTCTATAAAATTCTCTCCGGACATTCGCATTCCATATCAATCATCCGACAAAGACCCATAAAATCCCGAGACCGGTGCTCACAACTTTCGATTAGGTATTTTCATGGCTAATAATTAAACATGAACTGAATGTAAATAGTGGATTAGCCATAATGGCAAAGTTCTGTGAGCATGCGTGACTAAATTAATTAACGATGAATGTGTTTCCATCCAACTGTGGGCATTGGACGCCTTTATGAATGTTAATTGTGAAATTGTGCAATTGCATTGTGACATTTGTGGCATCAGGTTGCTCTTCATTTTCAATATTCATATAATTAATTAAATAATTGCAGGGGCGTTTTTGACGGGAAGCCATTGTAATTAAAATAAAATTCAGGAAGTTTTATTCCGTGCTGTGGCAATTTAAATCATGAAAATTGAGTTTTATTGTAGCGAAAAATTAAATTTCTGACAGTGCGGATTTTGAATCATTGCGAGGAAATGATTTTATTTTACATTTCATGTTTTTTGATGATGATAAAAATTCAATTTACTCTACTTTATTGATTCATATGCAGTGCCTACGTAGAAATATGGTTAAAATAAATTCATTTTATTATGTGTTAATTTTATAGCTATGATTTATCCTCTTGATTCATTGCGTTTATTAGAATTTTATTACTCGGCTTTACGCCATTGCTACAAAATGTATGCAGGCATTAACTTGCCCCCCTACTATATACGGCGCCATGTTGACTTAACTCCCACGTGCGCTAGAGGCATGTGATTCGTCATCAGCGTGCATCTTCACTGTGATCATGTGCGCAGGTATATTTGACCCGTCGTAAATCAGTCCCAAATTACACGCCCGTTTGTTCACACGTGCCGCGCCATTAATAAGCAATATTTGGTGTGTTGGAGATGAACCGCCGCCATAGAGAATCGATTCAATCTACGAAACAAATGTATGTAATAATAAACTAAAATTTATTTCATTCGTTACTAGTAAATATTGCGTAATAAAGTTTTTCTTTGTGTGTGATTTCTAAAAATTAATTAAATTAGGAAATGTAGGTACGCTTCTAATATAGTACAATAACACAATAGTAGGGTGCAGTTTTACTTCACTGGCGTTATAGGTATACTAAAACAAAAGGCAACACGCTGAAAGAGAAAAAAGCTCGTCGGAGTAAAATGGTAACAGTAGAGCGCGTATTAAATATTCATCCATAGTGTATACTTGGTTGCCTTTCAGCTTTATTCATTCTGTTCGTGTATCTCATTCTGCAGGCAACTTTCACGTTTTTAATAACTCATAGGTACATTTTGCAGTTTATTAATTTTAATGATAACAATCGCACAATGAGGATAACAGTATCAAAGCTAATATTAAGCGTGGGTTATAAAATATTTAGAGATATCCACCAACAAACCCTTCAGTATTGGGGATCAATTTATAAACAAAACTCAAGCTAAATATTAATTAATATTATATAGGATGAAGCATACAAGACAATTATTTTATTATGTGCAGTTTGGCAGCCCTTCGCCTGCATCAACAACTTTCGATTCTTGTTAATTATGTTGTTAATCTACCATAAAGTGGTGTAGTGTTTAGTTTACAACAAGCTATATTCAAAGTAAATTTTAATCAAACCTCTTGAATGATCTATTCATCGTCATCCATTTAATATTCAATAATATTGAATAAACGAGTGGATTATGTGATTTCCAACAATTTCTCTGCTTTGAATGCAAAAGACTGGACGAAGTAGCAGTAGCATTACATAAACGCAATAATAAAGCCTTCGGTTCTCCGGCAATCGCGCACGCTTTATCCACCAAATAAAAAGGCAAAGCTATGCCTGAATCCGGCTTTCTTTCCGCTACCGTTGTAACAATGTTTTCGTTTACATCCCGAGTAGAACATGTCTCCGCATGAAGACGCGCAATATTACATATTTCAAGCGCATTGAACTGTGAGAAAGTAGCATCGTTGCACGCAAAGTAAAGCAAAGCAGTAAGTAGTTCTGCCAGTAATGTAAAAGTCAGCAGGAAAAAAGAACGAAATATGTACTGAAGACGCGGGTCGAAGTTTGTGGTACATTATCGTCAGCAACAGTCTTTGTCAGCCGTTTGCGTGTGCATTATGAAAATGGCCGGATCATTTCAATGTGCGCTCTTCCCTGAGTCTAATGCCCAGTTGGTTGACAATGCTTTAATGTCACAAGGCATGAAGTAAAGTACGCTTATAAAATACAACATTGTATCCGAATCGAGTGAATAAAAATGGTAGCTGCCTGATACACTACGTTTCTTCGTGCGCAAGGTCGTTGAAAGTTAATCAAGTGTGCTTGTTGTTTTAATATTGGGTAATTAATTTTAATTTTATGCGGCCATAGAGAGTAGTTATGAACATATTCACAAAATATAGACTATAATTTTTTTTCTGTGCAGGTATTTCTTATGTTTACAAGGTCCTTACTTTAATAATGTCTTAATCTAAAAAGCAGATAGCTCGTTGTAGGTACTTTGCTGTATTTAAATAAGGAAAAGGTCAGATAAGGTTTCTTTCGCCAAATAAAAATATTTACGTCCGTCTTGTTTTTTCTCTCTCTTCGTGTTTACGATATCATTTCGAAGCAATTCTGTTCTACCAAAGCTTAAATATAACGAGCTGCTTGCACTCCAACTACCACCTGCGTTGGTATTCATGCAAAATTGCTGGCCGCAGCAAATTTAGTCATAATCTTTATCCTAACGACGCATCGACCTGTGTGTAGATAACGAAGAATATCGATTTTTACACCCACCTCATGCACGGACATGCACTCGTCATCTCCGGTTTCACTTTTATCATCAGCCAAATGATGTTGGTCGGTGAGTTGAAGTTGAAGTTTCAGGCTACACGGTGTAGCATTAAACTAACAAGCGTTTTATCAATATTGTAGTTATCTGACGCATTCAATAACGTAGTATACAGAGTATTATACTTACATTAACTGAGGTGTGAGTTAAATTTCAAAAGATTTAATTCTAAACTAAAATTTTACTTTGTGTAAACATAGTTGGAGTGAACTTATAATGTGAATAACCACAACACTCAGGATATAATATATCCTTCGTAGGTACTCCCACCTGCAAACAATCTTCATGCAAGCAAACAAATCAACTTGACACGTGGCGTCTCCTTCTGTTCTATAAACTTTAGTTCGTTTCAACACTTATCAAACAGTTTACCAACTGTTTGTATAAATACAAAAACGGAATACTCATTTGTGAGATTTTTATTTTGTGTGTAATTTGTATACTTCTGGAGTTTCTGATATTTACTGAAAGAAATAAAACTAGTGTAGGTCAGGTTAACATATTCAATTGTACCGACACGTTTTACTGCCACGAGAGTTGCTTCGTGTTATTGCACTTGATGTGTTACCCGTTACCATTTCCATTAATTACGAGTGCAAAGTGCATATTCATTTAATATTCTAGGCGCCACGCCGTGCTGTAGCTTGTGTGAGCAATCGTGCTATCAACGTGCCTTAAATAAAGATTCGTACTTTGCTATTCAGCAATAGCAAGTTTAATGAATGAACTTGTAATGTGTTTCTACATATTCAAGATAATAATTTAGTAAATATTGCAATAGATGGCGTTAGTAATATTAAATAACTTTTTGTAGAATTAAAAATAAAACTTTTAATTCTTTGAAAGTTATCTATAAATAGAAACTTTTGAACTTAAATATTCAACTAGCTAATTGAAACTGCCTTCTCAAAAATTAATCACTTTTAATACGAACAAATTCTCTTAATCCTTGTTGTTTAAAACTTTCCAATTTCACGTCCTTCGTATTGCGTTTTATCTTTTGTCAATGTAACGTTTTCCATTTGAATCTCATAAAAATTTCATAAATCATGATTTCTTTCACAGTTTGCCCTCCAATACTCCCTCTTGCAAGCCCTGTGTCATTGAATCATTTATTTCCCATCAAGTGTCCGCAATGCACACAACCGTAATTTGATATTCTGCGTTTCGTGCTCATTTGAGTTGACACTTTTTTGCTCTGTTTCAAAATTATTCGCAAATGAATTGCGTTACACTTCAGTTGTTTGAATGTTAGCTTTTACATTATCCGAAATGACACACATGTTTTTGGTTTTCATCTGCAAGCCTATATGGTTGAGCATGCATAGAAATGATGAGATTTCGCGCGGGGCGACACAATTTGTGCCTAAAAGTGTTTGAGAATTATTTACACATGAAGCGTACGGGTCAAATCCGTTCTACTTGTATGTATTATCACGACAATTGCATGTCAATGTGAAAATTTAACAAAATGGACTTGCGGTTTGAAATTTGTCACTAATGAATGCACGACGCAATGTGAAATGTGTTTTGTACCTTGTTCCGAAAGCTTCGTACTTGTTCGTATTTATTTGTCTATTTAACTGCACGCCCCAATCAACCAAGTACCTAGTTTAATTCTATGTTGGAAGTCTAATTCAATTTAATTTAAAATTTGATTTAAAGCTGATAAAACTAGCTTTTTACATTTATTTGAACTTTTAAAAACCCAATAATGCCGCTCTAGTGGTGCTAGTTTGTAAAGTGCGTGGTAAAAGCATTCCACTACTGAAAATACGATTTATTCGTCAGCCGCTCAACATGTCAATGTACTTCTTCCGCCTGCACAATCTGCGCCGCGAAGAGGACAAGAAACGACGCGCACGCGCGCAGCAGAAACGCAAAGGATTCTCGCGTTATGCGAATGCTGGCCTTACACTCGCACCCAGCCGCCTCTTCGAGCGTCCTCCTCTGACGCCGTCGGACTCTTTGGACGAGGTGGCGTTCCAAATACCAAGGTGATAAACATTTCACACTATCACGATAGTTATTGGTGTTGGTACTTACTTAATGTTACTTCAATTTATTTTTTTAGTCACATAACGTTATAGGTTTTTATTGAGTCAATTTTAGTTTCGAAATTATGTGGATTTAAAATATCGTGGTGTTTAAGTTCTTGCAAGTTTAATTAACTTCGCCAAAGTTAGTTGGCGACTATATTGCGCACACGTGAAAACTCATACAACTCAAACTGTTACTTACCTTCTACCTGCTCGCTTCAATTTTCAACTATTATATTAAAGTTAGCCGGTTTAGCTAAACTTAACGTTGTCATTTTTAATGAATAATTTGAGGCGTGGATGTTGTGTTTGCATTTTGTTGAAATTACATCTGCAGTAGGCGTCGCGCTGGTTTAATTTTATAACTTTGTTTCCTCATTATTTCTCACATTTCCACAACATCAATGCGCTTTTTGCAGCAGGATTATTGAATTTCATAAATATGATTTATTTTTACATAAATATCTATCAATAACAGAAATTTATTCTATGTCATGTTATTTTCGGAATATTAACAGTCTATTTTAAGTTTTATCCACAGTTTTATTTAAATAGCTATTTTCACCACCGTTTTAAATGTTATATTATTATTATAATCACAAATGTATAATTATTTTAAGCATTCTGCTAATCATTGCCTTGCAATAATTTCAGCATGTAAGTTCAGGGCAAAAGGAAACATTAATGCAAATTTTATGAGCTCGTTAAATGTTACGGGATAATAACGGATAATTTGGTATTTGGTGAATAAATAATACAGCAGTTTATTTTCTGGCTTATTTTGCCGTTTATTGATTTAGATAAATTGATTTTGTTTTCCGATAATTAGATTCACTACTTACCTGTTGCGTTTGATTGGTGGGACGGCATGCATGAGTGGATTATTGATTACATACGTATATGAAAATGTGGACAGCCCTATTTAGGGGTTTAGGGGTGAAATTATGTCGTTGGTCGCCCTCTATGTGTGTCCGCCGGAAGCAGTAGGGGTGGAAATCACCAACGGGAATTGCAGGATATAGAAACTTTTCCTGGTGTTCGGATTTAAATTTTTAGATATGGGATTAATCATATAAAATTCTACTTTAAACTTAAGTTATTTGTTCTTAAAAAGTTTGCTATTAATATATCTTCGATTATTTATTGATTTTAAATGAAAACTCTATTTTCTCGTGGAAATTATTCAAAAATATTTCAAAATATTTGCTTCTGCAATTACTTCAGTATATTATTAATTTTTGCTTTTACTTTTTTTTCTTAATTCAATAATTATCTGCTCAAATCTCAAATTACATTCGTGATAATCAAGCATGATGTTGATCAACAAACCGACGTTTAACTTCCCAATCAATCACGATCGTAATACGAGCATGTTCTGGCATTAGCCGCGACGAAATAAAAAGTCCCCGCCGCAAAACATCGCTTATTGCGTTAATGACGCTCGACGCGTTAGAAGAGAGCCACGTAATAATGCCCTGCGTCCTCCGCACACGTGTGAAGTGCTTTCATCCCAGTTTCTCATTATTGCCACTTATGCGTGCACGTTCATTGTTCACTGACTACGCAGCGAGTGTAAAGCACCGGGCGGTCGGGTCGGCTAGAATGCTTTGCATGATCATCTCCAAATTAATGAATCGTCCGGTTTCAAAACAATAAATCGATTAATATCTATGCATACCATGTGGATAACCATGAATTTAGTATTAAATGTAAACTATGTTGTGGTTTTCAATGCATTTGCATTAGATGCAAACATAACAATAATATATTGTTATATTTAGATCCTTTAAAGAGGATATTGCGATCAAAATCATGACATGGCTTTCATTTATTTAAATATATTTCAGGTCGATGTATTGTTGGTTGCTTCTTGCATTTCAGGACAATTTATCACTATTATATAGGAATAAACGTCTACTATTTCATTGTTAGGAAAAAGTCTTTTAGTTTATTTCATTTTATTTCGCTTTTTGGCTTATTTTTAGACGGTTAGAAATTCATTAATTTCGATCAAAAGCACGAATTTAGTAACTACGCATTGTGCAGAACTTGTTTCCGTGAAATTTGATGGGTAAAAATGTTTTTCACCTTCAGCTACAACTATAGGTTATATATGTTTGTTGCGTTTGGACACGAACGACATGCAGGGTATATTTAATCAAGCATTTCGATACGAGCGAATAGGTCCACTGCGCACGGCTGGTTTACAGTCGGGCGGTCTTCCCAAAATTCCAAAACGAAGCGATCCGGGGTATTGTTAGTCGTGACATTCAATTCTCCGATGCCGACATGCGAATATGCCGTCGCACGCATGCATGAAGTATTCATTCTCGCATTCGTTCACATACAAAATTTGCAGTTGCGTGCGGTAATTTTGCCAGCCTACAATGGAGTCTCGTGTCGAGACAAAAGACGATGAATTGAACAGGTCTCACACAATAATTACAACTAAATTTTGCGCACCAAAGTTGTAATTACGGGCGGGGCTAACAACCGCCAGGTGTTATTGTTGTTGTTGTATACGTGGTTTAAATTTTGAACTCTACCAGGAAATATAATAATAATTACAATACCAGGAAGTTGACTGTAAGGTTTACGCACAAAGTGAAAATTTGCTTTAACGTAAAATATAATATGCGTTTTATTTTTTGAATTTGCGTTGGGAAAATCGGTTTAAACAAGTTTTAGTTTGGGTCAATGACGTTTAAGAAATTCGCGTGTTTGCACATACATCTCTTAGTATTGTAACCTCTAGAGAACGGCATGAACAAAAGACGCTAATTAGGTTAGAGCCGATTAAAAATGTACAGCGTTCCAACAACGTTATGGTGCAGGCGCCGGGCGCTGTGCTTTATTCAACCAAAACCTTTTATATCCCACTAGAAATTAATTATACATTACTAACAATTTAATTTGATAAAAATAAATTTATGTTTTTGAAAATCACAACACAAACATGAAAGATGATAGAATAGTAATCAACATATTAATTCGTCTTCTAGATGAATAGGAACACGGATTTACGTATTACAAATTTAAATCAGATACAAGTTACAACATGAACTGCACCACAACAAACGTTTGCGAGTCTACAATCTAATTTTAAACTCAACTTGTAACCGCAGTTTATTGTATCAACTATTTCGGTGCACTAAGGTATACTTGATATTTTGTTTCATTGGGGGATGCTAGCATATTTAGAAGCTGCGCAGTATAATATTTTGAATTATGTGTTTATTGCAATTTGTTTTCTAACTCAATGAAAACAAGCAAGTAATTAAATAACTTTAAGGAGTGTAATCATAAAGTTTTACTTCTAGTGAAATAACTACAGTTTGTAAAATAATACGACGTTGACATTTAATTTAATTGATGTTGATTTATAATTATCGCTAAAATATACTACAAGAGTTTTTTGCTAGAGACATAGACAAACAAAGTTTAGTCTAGCCAAAGAATGACGCATCATGTTTACTGTCATCATTAAAAATTGTGATACCGCTGAAATCAACACTCAATTCTTGGTATTTATTACTAGAATTGACCATTCGTATTTGCACGATTTTATTTGCGTAATAAATCATCGCACTTTGGTTTTTTTCAATAATAAAATTGAATTTATTATCGAGGTGATGGTGACGTTCGTACCAAGTGAAAGTTTAAATTAGTTTCTTCGTAATTAAAATGTAAATAACGCGATGTCTATCGTTGAGAATCCCTAAGCGTTTTTTCCGCATATAGCTGGGCCGATTTACGAGCGGGTGGGGTGTAATACTGGTGAAGGAATGATGAATTTATTATTCAGAAGATTAATCCTATAGATATAGTTTTGTGTATGGTGCGCCGCGCCAATGCTCTTGCGCTTATGAAATGATCCGGACTTTATTTTCTAATTAGCCATTGGGTCGTTGCTTTAAATTAAACATAAGGCTAATGAAAGTCAGTTTTATATGTCTGCTTTGAAATTGCTCTTGTTTTATTAGATCCGATGATATTTCAAATCGTTTAATTTTTAATCACTTGTTTTTATTTTTATGTGTTCAGTAGCTATAGATAATCTTGTAGATAGTTGACGTTTAGTTTACAAGCATTAATGTGCATATGGTACGATTCGACATAGTTGGGGTAGCGCGTTGCAGGCAAGCGGCGTCGTTTTGCTAGTGGTGGGGTCGGCGGAACGCCGGCTGTCGCGACGCTTTTCAGTGGCGTGTAGCGCCCCCGCGAAGGAGCATGAGGTGCGCGCCGTGTGTCATCCTTCGCGCGTCCGCCGTCGTGCACCGAACACACATGTAGAATTAGTGCGTGTATCGTGTTTTGACATCACAATCGCACCAAATAATAAAATTAATCGAAAAAAAAAATCAAACACACACGAAATTTTTGTGATAACGTAATTTGTGTCTTGTGGCGTGGATGATTGAATTCGTCGCTATTATGGGATCATCGAGTAGATACAGTTCGTACAACTGTTTAACAAGTTGGGATAGTTATGATAAGATTCCTAGGTAATTTTATTTTAATGTTCATTAGTCACAATGGTAGCAGTGTACATATACCAACGATGTAAATACTTGCTTTGTCATACATAATATCGTGACGGTTTTGCGTTTTCTGCGTGTTTCCCATCGTCGTACTCCGACATTGCAATTTGATTTGATTAGAATTTTCCATTAAATACGAGACCATCATTTACATTTCCACCACACCTAATGGATATGCGCTGGCGTCCGAACGTCTAAACAACAACACGACCGCAACTAGTGCGTAATTGAGAAGCCAACCGAAAACTATACCAACTTGTTGGTTCACGTCATTATACTTACGTTACGTTTATATTAACCAAATTCTAAAATTCATTATAATATGTAGGTCAATACAATATCTGGCGTATACATTTTCGTGAAGTTGTGGTTACCGCATGGTTACGCGTCCGTTCGAACAAATGTGCTTGTTAGTTACGTTCGAGTATAATGCACAAAGCAACTAATGATAAGATAGCACCCTCTTGCAACCAACACGGGACATATTTTCATAAAAGCCTATGGTCTACGCGTGTCTCGCCGAGCGAATAGTGTTTCTGGGCGTTGCGAAGTATAAAAATGTGTTTGTACCGACATTACTATTTATATTTACACATTTAATTGCATTTGGTGTGTAAAGAGCATAATGATTCCCCAAGTATACATAATTTATAATATAATCAATATATTCTGCGGGTAAAACTTGCCATTTTGTTTTTGAGCAAGTTCACATCAAAATTTGATGATATATAGGTAATTAAAGTATTCTGGAACTAACTTTACTTTACAATAATTTCTTGAATTTTATGGTTTATGGTTCCTATTTTTTATATTTTAGTGATATCTACTTTTATTAGGTTATAATGTTTTATGAATTGTAAATTAATAAAATTTTCCAATGGAATTCTGGATATAAACTGATTAAATATAAAAAATATTCATTAAACTCGCAATCATTTCAAAAATAAAACCTGTAATCTTGAAATTTTTCGGTTTACGATTTGAACAATTACACTTTTAATTTTTCCTTTGTTTGTTTTTATTTTTATTTTATTCCGTTAATAATAATATTTTAGTGTGCACAGAAATTATATATTTATATTTCTCAACCAGTCATGCGATGTAGCGGCGAATCGAAGTTTTCACACGTTTATCGCCCAGTAGTATTGACGGTTTGTTGTGATGTGGATCGCCATGTTTCCTGCCAATGTGTCCGTCGCCATGATGTGTGTGCATTATGTATTTGTCCAGTCGCTATCCTTGGCTGCACCGCGCCGAGGGTCGTATTTTAATATTGTTGGCAAGCGCATTCACGGCTTGGCATCATCATTATACCCTGTTCGCGCATTACCTACATGCACCCACATTCATGCTTTTATGCGACGCAACAATGGCGAGGCACATTAGGGGCAAGTAATGCGGGAAAATATGCGTGCGATGGAGCGTTTCCTTAAATTTCAGAAATAAACAAACCGCGGAATTGCGAACAGTGAACGCAAGCGCTGGATTAAGAATGATTGTTGTGTATTATATGACTTCATCAAGTATGGTGTAAGTGTAGTTTGTTCAACGTTGCACTGCATTGAGGTTATATATAATTTGGGACTATTGTGTGCAGTTGAGGCAGATTCTAGTTTAATTTAAGTGAAATAAATTACAGAATATGCGGATAAAAACAGAATTACGATTTTGTAGCAAAGGAAAATTACATTTTAGGCTACTTAAATATGTATTTAGCAATTTATTACTAGCTATTATTCCTGGGGAATTAAATAATTAAGTTTTTTGTTGTTAATTCTCCGAGCTCGCAAAATAGCATGATTAATTATGGACAAACAAAATATTTGCCCAAACGTTGTATTGCTGGTCAAAAGTGCTGGCCGGTCTCCGAGGATTTGTGGCCCTAGCCACTTCGTGTGGTTGACTTGAATAATTACAAGTGCGGTTCGCAATGCGGACTTTCACACCACGTGTATTTTTGTTTGTTTGCATGGCTGCACCTGAAAACTGTCCCGAACAGTTTAAACAAGCGTGAGATCAAAACGAAAATTGCATTAAATAATCCGTATCTAATCCGTTTCAAGACAATTTCTATTTTAAATTGAATGAGACCAATGGCCTAACTGAAAGCGATGGAACATCAAAGAGTTAGTTAACAGAAGGAGACTGAATGCAGTAGACTGTTAGTTCAATTAATGCTTTGCTAGAATTTTGGAAGGCAATTCACAGTGGAAAACAATTACATTGAATAAGTTTATTTTTAGCGTTGTAGAACTTAAAAATCCTTTTAAGAAAATGGGCATTACTACATTATATTACATTTGCCTAGCGGGTGGGATCTCAGGTCTCGTCCTTTTTATATCTCGTTTCGTTCTGGTTTAATAAAGAAATACACTTTTATTGTGTGTTGTGCGTGAGCATTGCGCAAGCTTTTTAGGCTTTTTCCAACCTGTTATACCCAAACGCGTAATGCGGACTCGTTTTTAAAGCTGTTTCTTTACTTTAGATCCTGTCCGTTAGACGGGCGTTTCTTCGGCAGCTACTTTCTGAAACCCGTTAAAAAATTTTACGATAGTTGTAAATGTGAGAAAATTTATTACCAACAACGCCTTGGCTGCGTCCGACGATACGTTTTTCAATGTTGGCACCCCTGGCCAACACTTTTACCCCGATGTCGGCATTGAAATATGGGTACTACTGTAAGCGTTAGTTTCCCGTGAAATTATGCTTGGGGCGTAAAATATTTCATCACAGCTTAATACTTTTGCGATGCATGTACACCACTGCGGTGTAGCCAATGTGTGATGACTGCGGCAGACGCAAAAAAGGGGTGGCTGCCAATTATCAGCGAACGAACGAGCGAGCGGACTTAGGCGTTCGATGAGTGGCAGTTGAATGTGGCGGTATGAAGTCGTCGAACGTGTGCAGAGTATTGATGATATTGGATTTTGAAATTTAACGATAACACGTTTGCCGCGCTTTGATCTCTACCCGTTTCATTGTGCTCGAATGGGAACTTCGAACTCGCTGGCAAAGCGTGCGAGACAGGTTTTATCGGCGCTTTGCTTCGATTGAGCATGTTTGCGCATTTGTTCCTATAATTTGCCAACCATTCGGGAAAATTGCTAACGATAACATGTGATATTATTTGAGATAAATCTTATGATTAAAAATCCATTTACAAACAAAAATTAATAGAAATGTAATATAAATTGTAGAAATTACATTTTTAAAAGTTTGTACTCTATTCCTGACAAACATAACCAAAGTTTTTACTACTCTCATTACAAAAGTCTATTTTCTGTACACGAAAGTAGAGAAAAGTTAATTACACTTAAAGTACAAGCACGTTTACACTTTTAAAGTGTTACAGAAAACTGTAAACTGCACGTGATGCACAAACTCGTAAAAGAAAGTTCAGCACTTAAATACTCTTCTTCTACCTATATATGATCTGGTCGTACTACGATGGTACGTTTGCAACCCACTTTACTTTTATTGTAGCAAAATACACACCAATATTACCACATAAGCGTCAACTAAAAAACGCACCATAAACCTAATTTTATATAATAAACGAATCGATTTTCAATTTCGTATCACCTAGTCAAGTTAAATAATTAATGTCTGTCTGTTGCTGTTGTGTACTATGTTTACAATGTTTGCTCGGCCAAACCAGCCGCAACGTTAATAATTTATTTTATTGTGCACTGCTTTTTTAAATCAAATTATTTTGCACCGTGAATGATATTGATATAATAATTGAAAATTGAAACTATTTCCACCAATATATTTGTAATTTTATATTTATTATTCATACAAGTACCTAAACAAATTTACTGTTTACTTAAATCGATGAATTCGAAGCATTGCAAATATTAAATCTAGCAGCGCACATTCCGAGCAAAAATATTTTGAATAAATATATGCTCTTACTACACGCAGTAAATCCTTAGGAAGCAGTACGCATATTGCTTCGGCGTTCATTTTATTCTCGAAAAGAAATATGCAAGCTTATGATGCAAGCGCGAAAGTTGATGCGCATTGCGTTGTACTGTGCCCTACGTTTTTCTGTGCCAAGTTTATTGAAATATAAAAACTTAGATCAAAGCAATCAGCGAGGGAACCAACCAACAGTATACTGGGTTGCATACATATACAAGCTCTTTGTTACTGGTGAATTCAAGTATTCCGTTTTGTGTTGTGTCGCTGTGGGAGTTTTGCCGAAAAGCGCAGGATGTTTGAAGGATTCCAAACACTTTTTGCTATCACTTACTGGTTACCGGCAAGTGTATTTCGATGTTTGTCTAGAAAATAGATGCAGACGCTCAATCAAAAGAGTACACAAATTTATCTTTTTCCTTCAGAACTGAGCCTGCGCTTCCATTTGCAAAGGTGTGTAAATGTTTGAATTTAGTAATTGCGCTATGCAGATTGTGCACAAATTAAATATTAAAATATACCTACTAATTATTTTTATTTTTTGATAAAGAGTAAATTAAAACTATTAACAATGATATCATCGCTTACTGGTGTAATGTTAATTAACACACCTTTGTGTATTCGAGTGATAATAAAATAATTTCCGTTGATGTCTATGCAGTTGCGCGAAATTCACTAAATATGTCAACATTTCGCTAGTGCATCATTAAATCCAACAAACCTTTTACTTTAATTACTCAACAAGAACTTTTTTATACAGTTTTATATACTTTTTCCTGCGCTAAATATAAAACTTGTAATGTTAACCCAATTTAAACTTTAACTTTCCGTAAATTGGTTAAAATTGAATTTGTTTCTATTTTTGTTGCAGAGTCCGTGTTGAGTACTACGTGAACGAGAATACATTCAAGGAACGCCTTCAGTTATATTTTATAAAGAATCAGAGAAGTAGTGAGTAAACTATATTTACAAACCTAGGTTCCAAACATTGCAACCATATAATTTGCGGCAATTTTTATTCCTTGATTTTTAACGGTAACATGACCAAAATGACCAATTTACTTGTTTTTTTTATAAGAAATCAACATGCAACGCGGCCTGCTTACCGAATGCAATCAAAGTCACGATATATTACATTGCACACGAATTTCTACCGTTTCTGTTCATTAAATCAGCTCTTAATTCACTACACGATACGGTGTTACCGGTAAAAGCAGGTACCCGGGCTGAAAAGATTTCTGCATAATGATCGCAATGCGACAAAGGCGTGGAACCAATGGAAAAAATGGCCGTACGACCTTTAAGGTGCCATTTTTTTCTGTTACCACTAGGTTTGTACTACCGTACAATAAAACGGTGCAACACTAAATGACAAAAGACTTTCGCAGCCAGCCCAGGACGGCAATTAACATTTATAATCCCATTAGCATATTTTCTTAAATGCGTATACGCTATTATTTTTTTCATTAGACGTACAAACAAATCATTTGTACTACTTAACGCTTGACATATTTTTCCACGGCCCAGCTGTCACAAGTTACTAATTAAGTGTGCAAAAAAGGAAGACTGGGTTGATGGATGGCATAAAAACAATATACAAGTAACAAGTTGCAAAAGTTAGAAATCTTAAAATCTTTAACTTGGTTTGGTAGAACGTAAGTTAAATTTAAACGTTTTTTAATGTCTTCGTTTGCTTGCAGGTTTACGAATACGAATAGCAAACTTAATATTCAAATTGGTAACATGCGTCCTGTACATAATACGTGTCGTCACCGACTTGGATCCTACGTACGCAACCTGGTAAGTATACATTTATCCCATCTTTCGTACTTTTACTCGTTTACTTTTACATTAACTTTCATATGATCGACTGCACTATCAGTGCTTGACATTCGCGCTTTGACATCGTCAAATTTTATATTTCCTGTTTTAGTGGTTACGTGCAGTAAACACGACATCCTTTTAAAGTGTGCTTTAATCTGCCTTTCAAGATGTTTAGTCTTATATTTTATGTTTCATATTTCCGGAAAATTAAAATTAGGTCATTATCGATTTAATTTTTTGAAAATATCTCTTTATTTTGTTTGTTTTTCTTTAAAGTTATGGTTGTGTGCCTGGAAACAAGACGGAATACATAATATCAGCCAACCTAACAGAAGAGAAGTTTCAAGAAAATCCGATCATCAACTGGGATGCCATTATTTATGTCAATCGCCCGCTGGAGCTGTGGAGCGTCCAAGTGGTGCTGGCGATCGTCAGCCTGACCGAAGCGCTCCTGCTGGCGTATTTAGGATACAAGGTAGCACTAATTCTATTTATCCTTACATTACGATATTAAAGGCGCGCATACGCGTCCATTAATTAAGTCTGCGACGACTCTCGGCCCTCTGGCGCTCCAGTTTCCCATCTGCGTCAAAACTTATTTCTTCGCGGCATTCACCAAAGGAAGCGACCTGTCATTTACTTGCGTCCTAAAATTCAAATGACACACGATCAGAGCCAGAGCGAGAAAGAAACATTATGGTGCTTGAAAATTTCATTATTTCCACACGGAGGTGTAGAGTGCTAGAGTAGAGTTTTAATCAATTCAAAAGCCGTGAAATGCTGATAGAGCTTGTTTTTTTGCCCGAGCGAAATTTTACCTGCGGCTAAAAATCGAATCAAAATTTGTATTGATTTTTGATTCGGTTGGTTACGCGTTCATTGTGCGAATAATGCAGGAGGCATAATGCTCTCATGTCATATCTTCCTCCTCCCAAGGGCATTCCAACTTGACCTCTGACATTTTCCAGCGTTCAGCTTCGATATGCTGAAGTTAGTTCCCGTATCCGGAATCTGAAATGCATTCTCGCAGCCTGCGCGGTGTAACATACAGCAGCGTAACGCAAGCGACAAGGAAAAGTTTGCGCACACGTTTCAGACTTTTTGATACTTAATCTTTGTTTGCCGCATAATTTTCAATTCTGACGTTCTTCTATAATACGGATACGTGTTTCTTTATTATTTGCTAACAATTTTTTCTGTTTATGAAGTTATTATTATTCCCAAACGCATTCCAAATTAGGTTTTACCTAATTTCGACAGAAATTCGTAGATATTATAAACAAAGTTGGTGAAGATCGATGATAAACGAGTATTTCGCTTATTTCCTCTGAGGAAACACAAAATAAACATTCCAAAAACGACGGAAACTTGCGTTCGCACGTGAAGGAACTAGGACGGTGCTAAGGTACACCAAGTTGGTGTCATTATTTATATCGAACGAGTTTGCACAGTTTCACGAAATGCCTCAGGCAAGAGGCAAGCCACAACACCTCGCATTACTGTAGTACTTGCAGGGATACGTGAGTGCCTTGGTCGTTGACAAAGACAAAGGAAACTGAAAGCATTTTATTGCAAAACATTTAAATTTTACGAATTCAAAGCGTTATCTTTCGCATAGCGGAAGAATTATATTTAGGATAATGACAAGTATAAACTTTGCGCATTAAGCAGTTGGTTTGATATTATAAACAAACCGTAGCACATATTTTTAATATAATTGATAATCAATATTTGCTAAATATTTTAAATGTACTTTTCAAAAATATATTAAATATGAAAGTAGTGCCTAAATTTTTAGTACGTCTGAGTGTGTTTCATGTTTTTTTGCTGTTTGTTTTGTTGACATCGGAGACCTTACTCATATGTGCATTGAGACGCTTGTCAAAGATATCATGCGTTACATGAATTAAATATTTGGAAAAAGACAACTCTCAAAGCAAAGAAAATCGTCTCTGTTTTTGGATGTTGAACAAGTGCAAAGCCAGTGGACTGCGTGAAGTTTATTGTTTTAAGCCGTGATTCTCATAGGAGTAGCAAAACAGGATGTGCACAAGGCGAGTTGAACTGATTTACTGTGGGGTATTACTTCGGTAGGGTTCCTGGCGAGCATCATCTGTGTGCTCTGGGTCGAGATTAGCAAACTCCGCTCCTTTCTGATGTAGTTTTTACCTGTTTGAATATTTTGTCGTACAAACCACGTGTGGAGCATGTATTAGCATAGAGTAATATTTTGCAAGATTACATTTTGTATTTTTTAATACATTTCTACCTACCTTTATAAATATGAGAATTATTTTCATATTCTGTGAAATATATTCTTAGCTTTTATTTGCTGAAAGCCTTCATGCGTAAATTATAAAATAATAGCGAAAGAATCAATCACTTTGCTTTAATATTTAAATCATTGATAATTCAGAATGTTCAATAAATCATTTTCGAACGTAATGTGCGCGCCATTTCTACGAAATGCTTGGAAAATGGCCGTGTGCGAGCGTGTTTCATCTCTCATTAGGCCTTCATCGATCAACTTGGGGACTAACTCAACGCGAAGCAGTTTCTGGACAATTTATAATTACTTCCACTTAGACTCAATTAAATTGTAATTACTAACCAATCTAATATTAAAACAATTTTTAATAGTAACTTTCAAAGTTCTTTTGAAGGTGGATACATGCTTTCAGAGACAGTTCTAGTTTTACATGACCTTTTTGAATAATTTCACCAGGAATGTATTTCGCTGGTAGCGCTTGTTTTATCTCGCCAGAAACAAAATAACTTGTCTAACTTAATGCGAAATAAAATATTCATGAGACTGAATCGTCCGTTCTGAGATGTTAGCATTTTAAGCACTGCATGCTTTCAATTCTGTCTGTCTTCAAGCAAAATGTTACAGCAACATAGCCAATGAAAGATGATCAGAGAGTTAGTACTGGTTGGTGACCAATAGGAACAAAGCCAAGTGCATTGTACTTTAGATCTTGTCTCTTGGGTTGAATTGCCGTAAATTTAAAACATTATTCTCCCTTGGCGTTAACTGCAGACAATTTTATTGCAGGAAAAATTTAAATATGATCAATACAACTTCTAACTGCATTTTCAGGCATCATTGTTACGGGAAATGGTAATGCTGCTTTGTTTGGTAACTGTCTAAATAGTATTTCAACACGTGTCTATCTATCACGCATGCGGTGATAAACATCAGTATTAACACAAATATCTAATGGCAATGACACACTTTATTTCTACATTAGAAATATAGTAAAACGATGTGATTAATAAATTATTATCCTAGCAGCAATGCTATTGGCGGTATTTTCATGTGTCACTAGAATACTACGTGAAAAACATCATGCGCGGAAGAACGCTTGCTCGTTCCATCAAATATTTATTATAAAACATTAAATTTTTACGTTTGGGGAAGAGCATCAGGTTCAATTTAATCGCAGCACGGTTTTCCAATGATATTAATGTAAAGATGCAAACTTTTTGCAAACAGTTTCCGTTGTTTTACATTTAAAATTTGTGGGATCAACAAAACTAATAATATTAAAACGAAAAAATAAAAAAAGCGTTTACTTTGCATTTCTTTCAAACGTTTTGCCAATAATGACGCACATAGGATTTGTCGATGATATTTACCAACGGTTAAATATTCATACGCAAATATTGGTAAACCATTCGAAACAGAATAAGAGAAAAAGGTTTTGCAAAGTTTTTGCCCTTTATTTTTACCAATGAAAGCTTTTTGTTCACTCTGCATATATCGAGAGTCGTTTCAACGGAAAATGTTCCTTTTTGTGCGTTGTTCATTTCATATCTGCTTTCCGCCGTTGCCAAATATAACAATGTTTTTTAACGATTGTTTCAGGGAAATATATGGCAGCAGCTATTATCGTTTCACTTCATCTTAGAACTAGTCAATACAATCCCCTTCACAATAACGGTGAGCATTGAGATATTGATACGACTGCGGCTTGTAGAATCGAGTCGAGATGGCGATGTAGACGGTGCGACAAAACGTAGAAGTGCATCTTTGTTCTGTATCTGTTTCACTTCACGAAACCGAAGATCTTATAGAGATGCGCACGTTCACGTGCCGTCAATATTGTTGCGCCTTTGGTGCATTTTTTTTCTTACGCGTTATTGTATGTTGTGTGTATTCATGTTTTTTTCTTCCGCTCAGATATTTTATCCGCCTTTGAGGAACGTCTTCATCCCGGTGTTCCTCAATTGTTGGCTTGCCAAACGTTCCCTGGAAAACATGTTTGTAAGTAAACTTTCATTTATTTATTGATTAACTTTAATAACCGTGAGTGGCATGAGTTGAATGTGTGGAACTTTGACCTCAGTTTTGCTCAAAGATGCAGTTAGTGGTTGGGGGTGCGCTTATCCAATGGGGACAAAACAAGTTTGTGTGAACTTACAGTTTCAGTGTGAGTTGAAACTTTGGCGCAAACAAGTTAACGTCAGATGACGTTTGTATTTCCAACAAACGCGCATTAGTGAAATTGCAAGTGCACCCTTTGAGCTGGGATAACGCTAAGTGGGCTGCAAGCATGCAACTGGCATACATGCATAATGTGTGTTCTAACATGACTGTAAACGTTTAAAGCACAGCGTACAAATATCAATATTTGCGCAGCTAAAACAATTGAGTTATTATCAGTCTATTTGATTATTTGGATTGTGGGCTTAATTTTATAAGAGTTAGTTACGAATTTTAATGAACTTATTTGTCATTTTCACTTAGGTTTTCCATTGATTAGAAACTTTACAAAATAGTTTGGTGGTTTGTTCAACGCGTAGAACTTTATTAATTCACTTCGCTTCGCGCGCGGCGAATGAGTTTTATTACATTTTAGAAAGTTAATTTAAACAACTACCTGCAAATTATTCATCTTCAGGGCATATTACATTCAATACGAATGCTCATAATACAAAAAGTTTTCACTTTCCACTACAAATTTTAATTAAACCACGCTTTTCAGAACGACCTGCATCGTGCAATGCAAAAGTCACAATCGGCATTATCGCAACAGCTCACGATATTGTCAGCAACGCTTCTTTGTCTAGTATTTACGAGGTAGGTATTTTCTCGTATTTCCGTACTCACGGAGGTCGATGGAAAATAAATGACCGGCTCGCATTTTAATGTCACACATTCCCCACCATCACGGAATCCTCACGCCATGGTGCCGCGGCGGCTGGTGGCTGGCGACAATTCGCATTTATCCATTGACAGTCACTAACAAATTTATCGTTTCATTACGCGTCGCCCAATGTATTTTTGTAATTTTGATTTGTTTTCGACAGCGTGTGCGGCATACAGCATTTTCAGCGCGCCGGCCACCGACATCTGAATTTATTTCAGGCCACATATTATGTGGTCGTGACGTTTTCAACCGTCGGCTACGGCGACTTCGTACCGGACATTTGGCCCTCGCAACTGTACATGGTCATTATGATATGCGTGGCTTTAATTGTCCTCCCGACCCAGGTAAATAAAAACGCATATTTATACAGCCAAACACACCTTTATTGGAAAAACGTTGTCCGTTGCTCATGCGGGAGCATAAAATTGCAAAACAATTAAAAAGTAACCGTCTGAAATGAGTTCCACTGTTGATATTACGATCGCATTGAAATTAATGTACTTCTGTACACTTATGATTCATGTTATCCATTTTGATAGTTTGAACAATTGGCGTTCACGTGGATGGAACGTCAGAAACTGGGCGGTTCATACTCCTCGCATCGAGCACAATCAGAAAAGCACGTTGTGGTCTGCAGCACAACGTTGCACGCGGATACAATAATGGATTTCCTCAACGAATTCTACGCGCATCCACTGCTGCAGGACTATTACGTAGTGCTACTCTCGCCGATGGAATTAGACACGACGATGCGGATGATACTGCAAGTGCCGATTTGGGCGCAACGCGTTATTTACATTCAGGGTTCGTGCCTGAAAGACGGCGATCTGATTCGGGCGCGCATGAACGAAGCCGAGGCGTGCTTCGTGCTAGCGGCTCGAAATTACGCTGATAAAACAGCTGCGGTAGGCGCACCATTTGATAATCCCTTTTGCTTGTTTAGTTTTGCTTAGAAAAACGTGGCGAGTTTACGTAATGCTGAAAAACTTACAGGACGAGCACACGATATTGCGCTCGTGGGCTGTGAAGGATTTTGCGCCCAATGTGGCGCAGTATGTACAGATCTTCAGACCGGAAAATAAGCTGCACGTCAAGTTCGCCGAGTTTGTCGTTTGTGAAGATGAGTTCAAATACGCGCTGCTGGCGAACAACTGCTTCTGTCCAGGCGCTTCTACTCTCGTTACTCTACTACTGCACACTTCGCGTGGACAGTGAGTGTGCTCAGACTAAAAGTTTATACGTTGCATGTCAATTACACGACGTGGGACATGGGCTTAATTAACGCGATGCTTTCAGGGAAGGTCAGCAATCTCAGGAAGAGTGGCACCGGCTGTACGGCCGATGTTCGGGCAACGAGATTTATCACATCGTCTTGGGTGATAGTCGTTTCTTTGGAGAATACGAGGGGAAAAGTTTCACATATGCGAGCTTCCATTCACATCGCAAGTAAGTTTCCGCGCGGAAACTTTCCCGCCAAATTGATAGTTTGCAGTGGTTTGTAGCGACGGGACACAACGTGTCGATTGTAATGCAAATCTATTATCTTTGCAATGTATAGGTACGGTGTTGCGCTGGTCGGCGTTAGGCCTGCCGAACTACCGGAGTTCTACGAGGACACAATACTGCTGAATCCGGGCCCGCGGCATATCATGAAGAAGAGCGACACCTGCTACTACATGAGCATCACCAAAGAGGAGAACTCGTCGTTCACTGTCGCCAATCAGCAGACGAACAATAATAATACGTCAGGGGAGCCGGTAATTGTGACCGAGCAGGAGAAAACCAGCGTTGCGGCAAGCAAAGACGGTACCGGTCCACCACTACTCATACTGCAAGTCCCAACCTGTGTCAGTGAGTGTTGTGAGCGCATGTTATTCATTAATACATAACGCGGTTAACAATCGTTCGATCGCCACCGAAGCGATGAAACACGGGCGCATTGTTAGCCAGTTAATTTAAGATTCATAAAACCGAACCAATCGATTTGCGTAGGAATCGTTTTTAATTCTTGGTAAGAACAATCCGAGCTTTCTATGTAATTTTTTTCATATTGTATTTGTGTTCAAATTTTGAACGAGCGGCACCCATTTTGTCTATATGTACACTCAAATTTTGATCAGAGCAAACCGATTCAGTGTCTAGTTGCTTTTAATGTGAGCACTAACGAATTTTGATCATAAGAACCTTAAAATACCTTAAAAATCCTCAGTGTAGTTAACGAGTTTTACATGTGTCCGCAAATGTACAACATAAGCGATTTACAAGCCATTGTGTGTGTATTTTAGCTACGTTTACGGACACGACAAATTTCGCCGACTCGAAGCAATGCCTCAAGGACACCTCTCCGGGATCTGTGACGCTGGACGTGTCCGGAATTACGGGCAACCACTTGGACATACCGCGTAGCAGCGGCGGTGATAATCCGAACTTACTGAGTCCGGAGGTGATAAATCAGAGACGTAATTCCCGTCGGCCCAGCATACTGCCCGTTCCGGATATGTTCACTAGCTCGTCGATGAACATACCGCAAGACGTCGCTGACGAAGGCGACGAAAGCGAAGACGAATTGGAGGATGATGTGCCTTGGAGGTCGCCCAGCGAAAAGATCGCGTAAGCGATTCGCATTTTCTTCGCATGCCGATAATTTTCACTTAATTCAAATCGTCTTAAAATACCTGATAACACATCATAAAATTTGACTCCACTGCAAATCAACATGCAACACACTAGCTCTTTGTACATACGTAATACAATATCAATGTTCACCATTTCTTTCAGCTTGATTTTTGATGTGAGCAAGCTAATTTAATATTTGTATATATGACGTATCCTGGTCGACGGTGATTGCATTACACTTGTTTTGCAAATTAGTTTATGTTACATGTTTATGTTTAATGTTTATTATATATGTTTTGCCGCACGTCCACCATCACATTTGAACGTTGATTAGTGAGCAGTGTTGTTTCTCTGTAATCACACTCTGTCTTTCCGTACCTTGCACTCCCTAGGTCCAGTCTTACCACCGAATCGACAGACTCATCAAGACCTGCATGGCATGACGATTGTGCCTGGTAAGTCTGGTTCATTAAAATCTATTCAAACATTGTTTCTATTTTCCGTTACAACCACGTTTTGCGTGACACACCGCCATATCTTCACATTTAATGTTTGTTTGGTCGAACTGTACCCTGTTTACGATCATCCGAGCATCTTGCATTAGTTATCCGTTTGGTTGTATCTCGCGTCAAAAAGATATAGGAAATGTAAGACTTAAGGATAATTTATTTTATGTTTAGCATTGTGAAAGGATTTCCACCAGTATCGCCGTACATCGGAGTGAGTCCCACGCTCTGCTATCTACTAAAAGAAAAGAAACCTCTGTGCTGCCTGCAACTGGCGCAGGTTTGCGAACACTGCAGCTACAGGAACGCGCGAGATTATCAGTGGCAGAACAAGACCATTATCCTAGCCGCCGATTATGCATCCAATGGCATCTACAATTTTATCATACCGCTGCGGGCGCACTTCAGGTCGAAAACCTCATTGCATCCCATCATTCTCCTGCTGGAGCGACGGCCCGACATCGCATTTCTAGACGCCATCTCGTACTTCCCGCTCGTGTACTGGATGCTCGGATCGATTGATTGGTAAAATGAGTTATTCATATGCGCCTTCGCGTTAATTAGTTATTAATCACGGGGTTTGACTGTGCAGCCTGGATGATTTACTGAGGGCAGGCATCACGGTCGCCGAGAATGTCGTCGTCGTTAATAAAGAGTTATCGAATTCGGCGGAGGAGGACTCGCTTGCTGATTGCAACACTATTGTAGCCGTGCAAACAATGTTCAAGTAAATACTATCCGTAGAGGTAGTCCCTCTGCGATATTGATTTTCGTTATTTGTGGCGAATTGCAGGTTCTTTCCGACCATTCGAAGCATCACCGAGCTGTCCCAGTCGTCCAACATGCGCTTCATGCAATTCCGTGCACACGACAAGTATGCTCTTCACCTATCGAAAATGGAAAAAGTAAGCGTGCAATTTTCTCTCAAATACTCGTTAATTTACGTGAACGTGTTGATGGAAATACTTTTACACTTAATTTGGTGTTTGCGTGCGTGAAAGACTATGTTTATGTATTTCTAGGATTGCATTGGCACTAGCTGCTTATCAGAAAAACTGTTCATGCAGGTATTCACACACAATGGGTTTTCCGGTTTACTATAACTATAATATTAGTAGAAGAAAATCACGTTTTCAATTTTTCCTTACATTGCTATTTAACATATATTACTTACTATATACGTTCTTATCTACTAGCGTGTTATGACCAAGCATCAAAGTATTGCTCGTTATTTTGGCTATACACGATGAACCAACCACAACGGCATGAAAACTCCAAAATTTAATGAATGCAGTCAAAATGATGATGCAGCGATGATGGTACATTACTTGAACCTAACATAACACATTGTAACGGAACTTGTAAATTATGTAAATTTGTTGAGAACTCTTTGAAATTTTTGATTAGTTATTGCTTGCCGAATGAGACGAAGCTTACGACGATTTGAGCAAAACGTAGAATGTTGCACACGTAATATGGTCTGGTCTTTTGTATACATCTGCCTGAACATTTATTTTCGCCCGAAAAGAACGCCACGGCGCACCGCATGAACGTGGAAAACGACTCACTTTACAATTTAAATTTCAGAGAGAAAAAGAACGCGGCTCGCATATCTCGTACATGTTTCGCCTGCCGTTTGCCGCCGGAACCGTTTTCAGTGCGAGCATGTTAGATACTTTATTATATCAAGCATTCGTCAAAGATTATGTCATCACGTTTGTGCGCCTCCTGCTCGGCATCGATCAGGCGCCTGGATCTGGCTTCTTGACATCTGTAAGTTTCCCTGGCACCGATCGTATGTATCCATTTTATGAGAACTTGTCTTTCCGGACATTTTAGATGAAAATCACCAAGGAAGATATGTGGATACGGACGTATGGCCGGCTTTATCAAAAGCTATGCTCGACGACGTGCGAGATACCGATCGGAATATACCGGACACAGGATACTTCCTTGGCCGATTCATCTCACGTGAGTATGAGCCGCACGTCTTCTGCGTGGTCGAGCTGCGTGCGTGTGCCATCCGTAGCATCGGTGAGTAGAACCAAGGCGATTCGGCTAATTGAGAGGGCAAACCCGGCTTGGAGAGCAATTTTCGTTTCTGTTTCCGTTTTTGAGTTTGCGCTCCCATTTAATCCATCTACCATGTTTACGAAAATATTAGCTTTACGTGCGCTTGCGCTTCCGGTATTTTCTACAACATGTTTTTGTTTCCTCACCACCATTCTTGTTCTATATGACGAGCGACTTTTTTGTATAACATAATTTATTGTTCTCACGATGATTTTAACCTTTTTGGACACATCTCCAAACTGCGGAGAAAGCACGCACAATGTTCCAGACTCGACCACCAGCTTAAGATGTTTCATTCAACCTTAAAATAAGAACAAAAGATATCGTCCGATTCGCATGTTTTGTAAGAGCACGTTTACAATTTTTATAATACTTTCTTGACTTAACATTCAGAAATTTCTTGCTTTTGAAAGCTTTTCTAAAATTTTTAATAATGACAAATTATTCTTACATACTCTAACTTATATATCGCCTTAAAACAATGCTCTCACAATTGTCTTCAAATGTGGCATGTAATATGTATCTGTGTCACTGAATGTTAATAATTGCTGATTCAATATTAACGCTGTCAACTCTTCACAGGTATTTATTAATATGCACAGTATTGATCTTTCATGACACAATTATCATAGCAAACTTTTATTGGCGCTATATAAGACTATATTAGATTATAATATTTTACTACCTACGAATGTCAATCTCTAACAAAGTAACTGAATGACTGGAATCTTGGTAGTGCACGATTTAGATCTTTGGCTTCCTATTTCGAATAGCTTGACGAGGATTTTGGTAATGAACGTGTGGGCGTTACGTATCGGCCCAAGGAGGGCACCAACTGCTTGGGTTGTACTGATACAAAAAAGTCAATGGTGAGTAGCGAATTAAATGCTTTGCTAAGCGATTACACACAAACGAACGCCACACATATCAACCGAATCTAGTAGTCATTTTCCTAACTCAAATAACTCCAATCGTACCCTTAATGTAGAAGTTGTTGACTGCTATCTTGCAAGTGACATTAAAATTATGTTATACACTGTAAATATGAACACTTGCTATGCATGAGGTGAATGTTACAATGATAGGGTTTGTTTTCTCAATAGTATTCTATAAATATGGGTGATGAAGCAAGGGATAACCATGAGCAACAAATTGAGAGAGCCGAGATTGCGAATCTGGTTCGTTCTAGAATGGACAGTCTCAATTTACCAGCTGTTGACTACAACGATGTGAGCGAGAAGCGTAATAGTTTGTCCTACGTGATCATCAACCCAAGCTGTGATTTGAAATTAGAGGAGGGTGATATCATGTGAGAATCCATTTAATTGATAAGTTGTGATGACAATTTTAATCGAACGTTGTTACAGATACCTGGTGCGACCAAGCCCGTTTTCTGCGCAAAAAACGTTTGAGAGACACAACAGTAGAAGAAAATCGAACATTAGTTTCTGCTCGCAAAGTTTAGTGAATCAAATGGCATCGGCATCGCAGGCGGGTAGTAGACGCGGCTCCGGACTGGGCCTGTCCGGTTACCAGTCGCCTCGCGCACCTCCACTTGTAACGACCAAATCAAATTCCTTATCGTTGCCAGACAGCCCTACAATTGCTGCGTTTCAGCGTGGGCGATCGAACTCATTGCGCGTCATCGACGATATCCTTCTCAAGCGATCGAACTCTCTTCGCCAAGGGCTAACTGCCCGTCGCAAGAGCAGTCTAGAGGATGTCGGCCTATCGCACTTCTCCACCAGCTACAACAATCCGATCAAGATTGCGCTAAACGGCAGCATTGGGCTGGAGGTTACACCACCCGAGGAGTGCAGCTCGCCCCTGATGTCCAGCAACACGGCGTTATGCGTTAACCCACCGTGCACTGGTAGCACAATGAGTCTCTCGCAGAGTGGTTTACCGAGCGCAACCAGCTCCTTGCAGCACAGCGTCTTGGGCATTAACGTGCCGGACGACCCGTACGAAGCAGGTGCTTCACCCTCGCAAGCGCCCGACCGGAGCACGGCCACGGCGGATCCGCAACACTTACAGGGAACAATAGTATGATATAACCTCATGTGGGGGAGGAGGATGAGCGGCTTCAGGAATAAATGGCTCTAAATCCTCTTTGCCACACGTAGTTTTCAGTTGGTAGATTATTTAATATCAAACAGTTTGAGGATAGTATTCAACCGCATTTGGCCTTATTCTATTATATCAGAACTTTAGACTGATTATTCTTATCACTCGCTCTTAAGCCGCAGGACAACGTTGGCGTAGCCAAATTTTCTATTAGTAGATTCAAGATAATTTATTTTATCACGATACTCATCTAGATCCAGTGCAAATGCTGCTTTAATGAAAGATATCTCTTTAATTTTTAATTTAAGTGAAACCTCTCAACTCTACGCTTCAATTCTCGAATTATCTTTAATTTTTTCAAACTAATAAAAGATAATGCAACCAAAGATTCATGGTTAAGACACCTCGTAGATTGTATAATCTTATAGCTCAAGTAGCGAGTTGGAGTTTTAATAAAGTGAATTTATACATAAGTAAGCATGAATTTGACTGCAAACAAAAATATGTAATAATCGCAAGAAGGGTACTCTTCCAATTATAATACTTATCAGTATCACCTATCAGGTATGTTGAAAGTGGGATCAAATTTTGTAGCTAGAGACGTTTAACATTTGCGAACCTAACGTTAGTAGACATCCCTGAAACGCCCGTAGCACGAAGGATCAAACGTTAGCTTACGATAGATTTTAGCAGTGCCGTCCATAGCCATAACATCATGCATATGTATAATGAATATCATTCGTGTAGAACATCTAAATTTTCAACCAAAAACAATACGAATATAAACACTAGGGAAAGACTGTGCGGTGTGGTCCAAAATAAATAAAGCATGCAATGTATTTGTGAAGCTGTAGACAACTTGAAATATTTATCGAGATTGCGATTGTATTCTCATATCTTAAATGTGCATATATTTTTCTAGGATGCGGCGTGAACAAAGAGACATAATGATAAATAATAAAAACCATGTATAGTAAGAGTATAATCGTTGAAACCTACTTTAAATAGAGTTATGGTGACGATGCTTTGGTACTATATGCTTTATTTCCCATCGTTGTAAGCTCTGAGCGAAGTGAGCTAAAACGAATGAAGGGTTTTTATATAAAATACATAGGTAAAATTAGACATATATAATTATATTTAACAATAAGTATTGAACTAGGCGTACAAGCTAACATTTGTATATATACCTATATAAATATAATATTCTATAATACTCATTAGAGTGCTTCTTCAAAACTATTAAAAGAAGATTTAAGGCAAAAATTGTAGTTGCTAATATCAACTATGTATATTATTATTTAGATGCCCACTAAACTTTATCCTATAATTACTACTTACAATTACATTATTTTGCAAAAAACTGCGGGCATATTATTCATATAAATTACGCTTAAATTATACAGTATTAAGAAACATTATGAAACATGCAAATCAACATCTTTAGTATTTAAATTATTTAAATTATAGCACATTAATAAATGTATGAGAATATGTTCCATAAATAGGCCTGTTTTATTTTCTGTTTTTGCTGTACATACATTTAATACTGAGTTACTTTTGACATTCAGTATAAAAAATGATATGTAGTTGTAAATAACATGTTGAATTGTTCCGCACTTTTCACTTCAAAAGAGTTATTTTTAAATTACCTAATCAAATATGTTGCATATACTAAATATATCAAAATAAACAAAAAATTATATATGAATATATATATAATACCTATATTCATTTTTAAATGCATTTCAGTTTTATTAAATGCGTATGCTGTGTCAGTTAAAATTTTAAAAATTTTACGTGCAAAATCGCGTCTTTACAATGAAATGTTTGTTTGCTTTTTTGTATGAGTGCATTAAATGCACGATGTTGTCGCGGGCATCACTCTTCTTTCTCTCACTCCAATGAACAGTGCTACAGACGGATCAACTGGTTTGCTCTTATCTTTTATTTTTAGTTGATACCGACGCGTCGTTTCGGTCACGCCACCTTCCGTTTTTAATTCAGCAAATCGCGGTGTGGACAAGCACTAATCGACAGCACTAGTTCAACAAGCGTAATAATTACCATTGCTTAATATTCACGTGGGTGCTAGAACCGTTCTGCCTTATCGCTACGTATGCACCGCATATATCATCGGACAAACTGCAGTTCTTATTATTTTAATTTAATAATGGCAATGAATGGTCCTTCGCGTGTGGTGTGTTTCGGTTAGAATTGTAAATCTATAATTTATTGTAATGGATGTGGGTGCGGAGTTTGTTAAACCCGGGATGAACATACGCCGAGGTGAATTGTGAGTGATGTACCATCGTCCGTCGGATGCTCTTCCATACTCTTCCCGCGAACAATCGGTATCAACTACGGGTAACAACCATCGCTGGACATCAAAGGCGGAAATTTTATTTTGTATCAAGGTATAATCTTTCTTTTCTTCAAGCATATTTCAGCCGCGTGGTTTTAAAGTACACAATTTTTTTTCTCCCTTTCAATATTTTTCAATGACAAGCAGTATCCGGCACATACTCTTATCGGCATTTTTCAATTCATTGAATGATCGCAATTTTGTCTTTAATCTTGTTTATTGAACGTATTACAATAATTCAAAATTGTCGCGCGTGAGTGATTGCGTTCTCGTCTCTCGCTGCAGGCCGTGGGCTGTTTTGTGTTGGTCGTCGGTTGTTTACATGATAAAATCAAAATACAATTTACATTTGTGTTCTATTTTCGACATAATCTACCTAATAATTTTCCTTGTTAACAGAGGTGGAAAAGTTTCATCTTTAATGTGATATTTTTTAAAGAGTGACACTTTAATTCTTTGATTTCCTATAAAAAAAATGTTAATGTTAAGTTAAGGATAAGCGATTCGTTCCTTTCTATCTCTTTTATATTTGATTTTTTCTTTAACCGTATTTTTTTAAAATTGACTAAATCTGTAATTTAGTCTAAATTTATCCTCTCTATCTCTCATAGTTTAGATGATATCGCTAGCGAACATGTTTCGATACAATGAGAAGGCCCCCTCTCTTTGCATGATTTTTTCTTTAACCATATTTTTTTAAAATTGACTAAATCTCTAATTTAACTAGCCTATCTCATAGAGAATTTTTTGTAGGAGAATGATATGCCATTCGATCCTCTCATGATTTTTTCTTAAACCCTATTTTTTAAAATTGATTTAATCTCTAATTTAACTAGCTTATCTTATAGAGAATTTTTCGTAGGTTAAGAATATGCCATTCGATCCTCTATCTATATTAGTTTAGAAGATATCGCTAGCGAACATGTTTCGATACAATAAGAAGACCCCCACTTTGCATGATTTTTTCTTTAACCCTATTTTTTTAAATTGATTTAATCTCTAATTTAACTAGCTTATCTTATAGAGAATTTTTCGTAGGTTAAGGATATGCCATTCGATCCTCTCATGATTTTTTCTTAAACCCTATTTTTTAAAATTGACTTAATCTCTAATTTAACTAGCTTATCTTATATAGAATCTTTTGTAGGTGAATGATATGCCATTTGATCCTCTCTATCTCTATTAGTTTAGAAGATATCGCTAATGAACACGTTTCGATACAATGAGAAGACCTCTTTGCATGATTTTTTAGCCCTATTTTTTAAAATTGACTAAATCTTTAATTTAACTAGCCATTCGATCCTCTCTTTGCCCGCTCTTTGCATGATTTGTTTCAAATTAATTAAATTTATAAATTAACCGCCTTTCTTACGCCCCGAATAATATATACTATCTTGTTTTACCTTATATAGAATTTTCCAAACTTTCGGCAAGTTGCTAGCGTTATTAGTTAAAAATATATTCGGTACCGGATATTCTAAAAGAACGTGATGTAGCACCTCCCTTTGCCCACTTTTTTTCATGTATTATTTTTTCATCTTTTAGATTTCTAATTTAACGGGCTTAGCTAATAAGGAATTGGAGTCACTTCAACCGCTACTTTCGTACGGTACCCTGTGCTAAGTGCTAAGGGCACAGAGTTTTCGTGTTTGTCTCAGATTTTTCATCAGATTATCTCCGTGACTGCCTTTTTATATGGACTGCATTCAATTCTGGATTTTAGGATATATTGTGTATACCAATAGGAGAGTACGTTCACAATATACAATCTTTTCATTGCATTGGACTGCATCCACAACATGAATTGTTTATAGTTCTCACTCTTGATCTTTATTGGTGTTTGTGCATAAACAACTTTTTGTTATCGCGATGCGGCGCGTCCGGCTCGCTCAACGTATGTTCTATTTCTTACTTAGTCGATCGGGTGCTGCCGCGTGGTAAAGACGCGTTTACTTCATCGGCGGTTTTCGTGGCGACTAATCGCGTTTCTTGTGATTTTAAGTCAGTAGTTGAATTAAAATCGGTCAACAAAGGTAAGATTTAGATGTGCTCGACGAGTGCGGTGTATAGTTATTGAGATATCGCGCGTGGAACCCAGAATTGCGTGGTTTTCCAAGATACACACGTGTTTGCCGTCGGCCGGCGGATATCTCCCGTCGGCTAAGAATTCCTAGTGGTTTTGTTTTGTGTATTCATTTAATTAATACTTTGAATTACCACCACCATTTGTGTCTTTTGTGGAATATTCTACCGACGAAAACCTGAAAATGCGTAACATAAATATTATATTCTGTTATTATTCGAAAAATTATACAATCAAATGTGGAGTCATCACCCGATAAGGAAACACGATCAGTCAAATTAGTAGATGCTTTGAAAATTGTTGCATTTAATCCAGGATGTAATGCAAGTAGTGTAATATTGTCGCGTTCCGTCGGCTGCCTATTCGCTTCCGTTAGGTTTCGTTTATGGTGCCTGATTATTGCTTTTGTATCTTATTTCTGTTTGTAACCGGCTTCACGTGTTTGTTTGTGTCGGGTTTAAGAGATCATGATTTAGTATTTCTTTAAAAGTTGTAATTATAATTAATAATAATTGTATTATTTATTATGTGTTATCCCCGCAGCTATCACTTCTCCTGGATATCCAGGTGAAAACAGGTAATAGAACTTGAATTTTTGTTTTCTTTTTTGCATCACCCTGTATATAAATTTTCCTTTATACTCAGCGGAAAATGAACAATCTTTATTGTTTAGTGGTGATTTTCTTTATAAATAGAAGATTTTCTTTTGACAACACCCTGTATATAAATTTTTTCTTGTTCAGCAAAAAAGTTGCCAATCTTTATTGCTTTGAAGCCATTTTCTTTTTTACATTGTAGATTCTCTTTTGGTAACACCCTGTATATTAATTTTCCGTTATGTTACGAGAAAATAGCCATATTTGTAGGGTTTGAAAGTTTGTCGTTGACGTATATTCTAAAATGAAGTTGTTTTCTTTTTGTAACACCCTGTATATTAGTTTCCTTGGTTGTCTAGTGAAAACGAGCAAGATTTATAGTGTTTATTGTTTGCACTTTAAATTTTCCTTTTGTAACACCCTGTATATTTGTTTTCATTTTCAATAACGTAGAAAATGAACTATTTGTTAATTTCTTTATCCCGGTAGAACATTATTACGTGGTACTTGCTTACATGTGCGTGGCTATGCAGGTCGTAAGTCCTCTTACCACATGGCGGCACGTATTTGGTTGACTTGTAAAATCTAAACTTGTATTCTATTGTTAATAAAGAAGCAGTAATATATATTGACTTCTTTGATTTGTGTGTACCCCTTCTATGATTACAGGAAACAGTTCCCTCTCTCAGTGGATGATCCCCACTATAAAAATTGTTAAGGTAACCTGTATGACTTGTGTACTCCTTCTTTCATTTCAGCTACAGGTCAGAACTTGTAAGAATATTTTTGAGTGTCGCCTCCCTTGAGACTACTTAAAACTTAGAAATATTTGAACAAGACCTTATAAGAATTGTCCTTATAAGGAGTTCCCTCTCTCTGGGGGTGATCCCCCACCATAAAAATTGTTGATATGCCTGATAATTTCGGGGATGAAGCGCAGAGACATCGCAGCTGTAGGATGGGCCGGGAGCAATGGACGCATTGAAGCAGTTGACTGTCTAACGACACGCGCCAAAAAAATTAAAAATCCGGCCACCCCTGGTTTCAGAGTGGCTTTTTCCTGCTCTTTATGTCTCCCCTACTCTTCTAGCTCTCTACAACTCCTTCTTCTTTACTCCTCTATTCTAATTTCTCTTCCCTGCTCTGAACTGTAACTTTATTTTACTTCCACTTCCACTACACTTCGACGTTCAATTTATTATTGTTTGAATTCGAATTCTGTTGCATAGGCAACCCACATTACTCGGATTTATTTCGATATTTAAGAAAACATCCTTGCTCTACTGGGATTCGAACCATGAACTTCAAATGTGCAAGTATAGGCACATGCACCTGAGCCATCGAGCTCTCTTATCATACTCTATTCGTTTCAGGTATAAATGTTGCACTTTTATTTATGTTTTTAAAAATAACAACACTTATATACAACCATAGATTCAATCACATGCAATCAAAAGTTATTTTTAAAACTCATTCTGAAAACAACTGAGGAGATTGTTAAAGGAATATGCTCGTCATTAAAATTTAAATTTATATTTTATTAAAACTCATACAAACATGAAAGTAAATATTGTAGATTTGAACAATACATCCAACAAAATTACATTGCTTTTGGAAAATCCCTGAAGGCCGTCGTTGACGGCACTCACTCGCGCACAGGATAAAATCACTCAATTCTAAGTGGAACCACTCGTGATAAATCATGCACCGACGCTATACTCGCTTATTATTATTAAATACAATCGATGCTAATAATAACACTATAATTTAATTTCAAAGAACGCGTAAAGTTGCTACAAAAATCTGGTAACGAGTTGAACACGCGCTCACCGGACCGCAGCGCTCGACCGACTAAACAGGATGGAGAACTGATAGCTGGTAACTCAACAATATGGATTCTCTACCCACTAAATACAAGCAATAAAAATTAAACTTTTTCGAAATAAGTATAATAGGATTTCAAGTCCTGGTGAGTCAGTATAGTGTTGATAATTTTCGGCTGTGGGATTCAAACCCACAATTATCATATCAATATTTCGAGTTGATCGATAATTTGCCCAGCCGCAATAATAGGTAATTATTGCGTTTATTTTATTCATATTTATTGATATTAATTTATATACATATAAACATTAACATTATTGCCTCAATTTTGTGAAGCATAGTAAATAAATTATTAGAATATATGAATACAATATAAAGTTTACTGTATTTCATGTTATAGTATGCATTTGAAGAATATAATAACATTTCATACAATGCAAACATGCAAAAATAAAATTAAGATGCACGTTAATGTATTATGCATATTTACAAATTTAAAACTAAGGTATTTCTAACACATTTCGCTTATTACAGTTGTCCCGAAAATACTCTCATGAATACTGTAAATAATGTAAGTTAGTTTTAGTCTTAACAATAGGAACAGTTCATCTAAAGACACTAAAACAAAATATGTAATTACAATTTATTTCCCTTTGATTCGATTTCGTTAATAATTATAATGCCTAATACGTTGAAATTAATTTTTTCAGTTTATCACAATTAATTTTCCATATTTTCTTGAAGAAAACAGAAACTAATAATTAAATTAATTAAAGCAGTTCTTGCACACATGGTTGATACATATAAATTATACAAACATTCATTCCGCTTATTATTAGTGTTAGATACATGCTATTCGGCTACATTTAGTTTTTGTATAGTATTAATTATATTCTAATTAACATCAATTACTTGTTCTTATTCGAAAATTTGTTAGTGTTAAATTTGTTCCTAACTTGTCGCAAATAATATAGAAACGAGATCTTTGTTAAAGTGTATATATACATTATAATTCCGTAAATAATTTAATTTTACGTAATCCGAGGCTTTTGCCATTAAAGTAAATTATAAATTAACCCTGGCGGCCGAAACGTATAGAATAACAAAAAGTGCAAAAATATAAATAAAGAGTTCTTAGAGACTATTAGAAAATTATTGTCTGCGCTCTCAATGTTTTTCTGTCATTTGCTCACATACGTTACAAATGTTCATTCCAGGAGAACAGTAAATACAAAGAATGAATGAATATCTTACAATTTTATCATAAAATTACACTAACTACGATTTCTCAGGGAGCAAATTACACGAGGATTTATCACATTTATCATCAACTTTTTTACTGATATGGCGTTTAAGCAATGGCCATTGCATGACCATGACGGTTACCACCAATACCACCAAGCACGATATTACAATGCTAGGCAGGCACGCAGTGTATCCCATGCACATAGTTTTTGCTTGTGCATCTGGAAATAATAAATACAAAACATCATTTAGCTTGTATGCCTTGCAATAATTACTTTTAAGCTTGCCTTCCAATTGGACTATGACGTCATGTTCGCTCAAGTTGTTTTTGCTCATAAATTTTTGCAAATTTACCAGTTTCTCTTGATCTACAAAAAAACAAGAATATAATAATTCTTACAAAAACTATGATAATATATTTGTACCTTCTATTATATTGATCAGATCAGATTCGCTTAAGTTGCCATAAAACATAAATTTCTTAATCGTCAATAGGTCATTTTGGAAGACCTCATGTGTTTTGCATTTACACACCGGGCATCCTTCTTTGTTGATTTTGTATCCCCCTGGACATGTTTTCGAGCAATGCGTTAACAATTTGCATTTTGGTTTTATTGTAATAATCGGTTTTTCTTCAATGCAAGAATCAGTGATACATTTTGCTTCACCTCCTTGGCATATACACTTTGTGCAGTTATCCTCTTCATTCCATTCTTGTCCATTTTCGTACATGTTATTATTACTGTCCAAGCACGTTTCAATGTGCTTTTCATTCGCTTCCTGATATATAATAACACCGTGTTTACAAACACCCGTGGTGTGATTCGTTTCAATCAGTTCTCCATTAATATAGGTTTTGCCATCAACTGTACAATTTGTCTGACATTCATAGTGATCACAGCATTTTCCTGGGAAACCTGTACCTATTCGAGTTATTTTCACAATACCATCTGTACACACTAGTGGTTCACATGGAAAACAGTCGCACATGGCTTCAATTTCATCGTCACCACTTGTCGACAAATTGTCCCTGGTCCGCCGTGGATAACTGTCTTCAGAACAACGTATGCACGCATGAGTCGTGCAACATTCGTCCTTTTGTTTAACTACCACGGACTTGTCATCACATTCCTGCAGCGGTGGACACTTTGTTGAATCACACACGCATACGCCATCTTCAATCCGCTTTCCTATATCAGTACACTCGCAAACGCCATCAGGACGTAGTATTGCGCCTACAGCACACATGCAGACTCCTGCGGCTATCGATTCGCGAGTGCACATGCCGCAGGTATACTCCGCGCAGCATACGCCAGGTGTCCCTGAACTGTTGCGTATGAGAGTTAGCTCTTCGTTGCAATGGGGCGGATCTTCGCAGAGCGAATGGTCACATTCGCAGGTACCGTTCACCAAAACGCTGTCTTCAGGGCACAAATTCACCAAAGCATTGTCTTCCGTCACTGGATGGCCAATTGTAACTAAAAAAAATCAATTAATTAGAACAAGCAAGATACTGAAAGATGGGTCGGGGACGTTTTCAAGGAGAATTTAAAATATTTTAGCAAATTGTATTGTAGTCGTACTCCTTACTAGAATTCAAGATTATGTTCTAGGCAACATTAAAAACCAGAAACTTAAGAGGTTCTTGTACAGTATTATACAAGTCGCAATACGAATAAGAACAAGTTGTCCTCAGTGGATGATGTTCATGTTTTCATTTAATTAGTACGATGCTACATGGCTACAAGGATGTAGATGCAATGTCTTGTTCAATATGTTACAAAAGTAACAATGGGATAAACAAATGATAAGCTACATTAATTTAATCATCCTGAAGGCTAGAAGACAATCCTTAAGTTTCCATTAGATGCTTACGAGATGCACATTCGTTGAAGTGAGGAACGAACGTGACTCGTCGCTGCAGTTTCCAGAAGGACCTCTCGACAAACGATTACTTTTCGTCCTAAGGTCACACTCTGGCCCTGAATGCGCCCAAATGTCAAGAATGTTGCCAGAACAATACTTCCCCTTATCTGTAGACTACTCACTCTCTAGGGAATGGTATATAAATAGTGAATTAAGAGCAGTCCTGTGCTGCAAACGGAAACGTTCTGGGCAAACAACAAGCGGCAACAATAACAAAGGAAAGAACCAACCTCATCTCGTATTATTGTCCGGCGCAGAGTCCGCATCAGACAAAAGCTTCCCCAAATGTGTTATCCTCGTGCTGCTCTATCTCGGCTGCGTCTGGCCGAGATAACTCGCTAGCTAAGGTGTGCAGCCACCAGAACCTAACGTGCCAGAATGGCACATCAAGAAAATGAGCAGACGGTTATACGTTTGCTGTCGAAAGGAGCCGAGAACGTTTTAAATTTTAAAATCTGAATCTCAGCCAGAAGTCGAAAGACTACTACCATTTGAGTATTTCAAGTGAGCATTTGTTCAGCGCCAGAAAGCGATTTTGCGTGGACGCAGACAAACGACACACATTCGTTTAGAACAATTTCTAGGATAATCTCGAATGAAAAACGTCTTGCTAAAAGGATAATCGATGAGTGTTAAAAATACCGGATTGATGACAGTTCATTTGTCGAGTAAGAGCTAACCTACTTAGTACACTCCATATCGGTATGCTAATTATGTTATTAACACACGACAACGCATACCAGATGCACCTGATATCAACAATTAATTTAACTTAATTAACTGTGCTGTAATTATCAATTTGCAACGATTATCAGCTTAGACCAGATCTGCGTTCGCTGATATACTAAGCCATTTGGCATCCCTGCAATTACTTTAATGCCTCCGACTCTGAGAGTGAACTGCAGGGTTGCGCCAACTTCTGAAGATGCGGGATAACTTTATTGTTGTTGCAAACTTTACAGTTCGTGAACTATTATAGATGGAAATCTATTACAGTTGGCAAGTTTTATCGAATTAAAGTAATTGAAGTAGAATCAATATATTCAATGAATGTCATTGAGCTGGTTATATATTCATCTCAAACTTCTCTAAATCAAGATTTAACACATTTCTAAAGTTCAAGTTATGCCACATTAATTATATTCGCATTTATGATAAAATGGACAAATTAAAAATTATTCACTTATAGTGTGAAACATGACAGATTTTATTATGCCCGTGGTTGGTATTGAAATTGCACATATAATAAACATAATCCGCAAGCAATTACACCTCTAACAACGACCGTGCCTCGTGTGGGTCGAGTACGATGCGCAATGCGACAAGCGCAAAGTGCCCTTTTAGCATGCGACGCATACGATGCACTCAAAACTGTTTGAACTTCGTTCGACTATTGTTTGCGCGTTATGTATACGTACTCGTAATTTACGACCCTTAAAACTTTATGGTGTTTGTTTTAATCTCCGAAACGCTTCGAGGGTGGTGGAGTCGATTATAGCGTGCACACACATGCCCTTCCTTGTAGGGCCAGTCGTAAACGGCCGATACTCGACTGGGAAACTACGCGCCGCCGCGGCGAGCATGCAGCGTTAACTTTCGACGTTCTCTTGCGTACGCAAACACAAACTGATAATCGCCGGCCGAGATGCATTCACGATTTAATTTTATTACACACTGTTATTATGTGTACGGAATATGTTTATGTTTTATGCACTCATTTGTACGTTACCTAGCTGATGCCGAGAGACCATCAACTTAATATGAGCATGCGTTTCTCGGCGTACGTTTGCATATTTATATTCGACTGACATAAACTTGTTAATTAACAACGTGCTTGTGTGATTTGTTAATGACGTGTTAACACATCGCGACATGCATGCAAAGTACCTTATATCACAACATAAAAATAATAATCTCAACTTTGCATCTAATGCAATCCATCTAAAACTTGAAAAATGAGCATGATACACATGGTTACAAATATAATATTGATCAACTCGTTGCCCGGCACCTCCATACGTGCAAATCAAACGGCAGTTTGTGTGAAATGACAATATGTAAATCGACATTTTGTACAATGCGTCATTATGGACTGGACTGATAGTAATTTTGGCTACAAAGAATGGATTCTGTTGGGAATGATTGTTTACATCCTTCTGGTCGTGGTAATCATTATCATGCGTTACATTGTGCTGCGTAGATGCATTACAAATGCAGATGTACCAACAACTATCACCAGAGGGGGGCAATCGTGCCGAATTCATTGTGATTGCTTCAAACCCAACTGTTCGTACTATTTCTGTCTGTGTTGTGAATTGGGCGTAAAGAAAAACAGTAAATCGAACATTGTGTTTCTCAACGAAGATCAACGTAATCCACATCAAATTGAAACTTGTTAATTTATTTTCGAAAGTACCTATTAAAGAGAAATATTGTGCCACCTCTTAATTAATTATCAAAATGAAACATACTTCCAGGTATCTATTACTGAAATGCACACACGTGGTATGTATCTACATATCGAGTTTGTTGTTTGAATGCGTTACAGTTTGGGGAATCATCAAGACGACGAAGCTGGCGTAATTAAAAGGAATGTTACTCGACTCCGCGCGGCACTAAATGTAATTAGGTACCACTTAGTACTTGTGCATTTGAACACCCCCGTAAATGGCGTGGAATTGCGTTGCTGTCGTCAGCGAGTGGTTCGGCATCGTTTTCCATCTGTGAGTTATTCGCATTCCCGTGCGCAATGCGAGATTCATGCGTGTGCCTCGCCGCTTTGACTTGCTACCACTTTCGAGTATTCACGTATTCAATGCGATGCAATGAAGAAGCTATGAACGTGATGCATGCCACGAGCTCGTTCATCATGGATTTGGAATGATGCCCACCTCATTACGGAAGGCTTTCACGTAGCGCATATTTTGTGCGCCTCATCCATAACGCACCGACTGCGAGCGCCAAGCGCGACGACTCCGAGTGCAGGTGGATGATAAAAGTGCATCGAGAAGGTGGGTAAATACGTGCGACCGATCTCCGCGACGATTATATCCAGGCTGCTCGTTTTCTGCATGCGAAATGTGAATGTGCATTTGCATAGTAATGCGACTCAACTTAACCTAATACATCCAATTGTCAAATAAGAAGAGTAAACACTTAGCAGTCAAAGACAGAAGGCTTCTTTTGCATTATGATTTTTATTTATGCAAATTTCCTCCTGCAACGTTTAACTCCTTTTTGGCGTGCTCGCATTTGCATTACACGTTCATTTTGTCATCGCGAATGCAGTGAGAAATTTTCTGACATAATATTTGTGATGGTGATTGCGCCATTCTCATGCATGCGCCTTGGCGTATTTAAATATTTGAGAAGCATGATTTCTGCCCGTGCGGCGAAACCGCTCCTGAACTTCCTGGCAGGCGTCGTCCCTCTTCTGCCTCCATTTCTGGAACGTAATGGGCTCTGATAGCATCAAAGGAACGAAGCCCAAGCAACATGGTAATTACTTCTAGTAATATTACTAGCTTTGGGCAATCTGCACGTCATTAGTATTTAACAAGGATTATTACTAAAGTTGGAATATTTTGTTCCGCCGGCTATGATATATTAACTTGTACTAGTGGTTTAGCCGCGCGAACCTTGGAAAACAAGATGTAAGTACATTTCATACTTGACATCTAACAAGATGGTGGGTAGCGAAGAGAAATGGGTTTTGACCAACTATGAAAAATGCCTAGCAATATCTTTTGAAAGAATTTTCATTTCTATTAACGTTAATAATTTAATTCTCTTTAAAATGTGAAGTTAATTTTACTCTCCAATATAACCAATAGACATAGCCTCTGGATATCTGATAAAAGAATAATCACACTTACGAGATATTAGACCCTTTCAGAAATTATTTATTCATTGAATTGACCCTGCGGTCACTCAATAATGTACGTAAATACCTCATAAATTATACAATAAATTAGTGATCTATCCTAAACCATTGTTAATGCAGCTTGTCAGCATCCTCGGCTTCGAAAATCAATTCAATATTATTAGTTTAAGCCCACCATCAAATGCATGTATTAATAAATGATCAACGAAATGTGTGTGGCATGTTTTAAATTACCGCGATGAAATTTTGAGAATTGTTTTCTAAGCATTTCATAGCCCCGGGGCTTTTATGAGAAATTAGGCAGAAACAAAAGAACAAGCTACATTTTTAGGTTTATTTTCACTCGATTTCCCCATAGTTACATTCTACTGGTATCAGAAACGATAAAAATCTCCGAGCTCGTTATAATACCGCGTGCGCTCCATTAAACCCGAATCCAACGATTCTTTTCGATTCCATTGTAATTATGTAATCGTCCGGACGAGCTCATGAATGTGTCGAATTCGGTCGTGCACAAGCGGCTGGCTTCAATCGACTCGATAAAAATTAAATGCGGACGAGGCGTATCACGAACGCATTGGTCACAGAAGAGATGCACGAAACGATCGCGCCGGAATCAAGCCGCGCACCCGACTGATGGCCGTCGTGTGCGGCGAAGAACTCTGAACA